ACTAACTCACTATCAATTGTGAATCGGAACAGGCGTCTATCTTTCGTGCCCCTGCCGCCTTGCACATGCGGATTCCGACTAGTAAAGCTTCATATTCTGCCTCATTGTTTGAGGCCTGAAAACTGAAGCGTAGAGCATACTCATACCTGTCGCCCTCTAGCGACTGACATACGACGCCTGCTCCACAAACATTTGAAGTAGAGCTTCCATCCACATATACCTTCCAGACTTGGTCTGGATCTCGAGAATCAGGGGGACGAGTCATCTCAACAATAAAGTCAGCAAAGGCTTGCCCCTTCACTGCTTTTCTAGGCTCGAAAGTAACTTCGAGGCTCTGTATTTCTATGGCCATTTGATCATCCAGCCTGACGACTCCATGGTGGTCAGTGGCCTCTTGATAGGTTGATCTGTATACACGACGATTGCATGTGCCAAAAAGTAGGGCTTCAATTTTTTAACAACCATGAAGAGTGCAAGACCACATTTCTCCACTAAGGGATACCTCAACTCGGCATTCTTTAGTACATGACTGACAAAGTAGACCGGTAGCTGACAACCGTCTCTTTCAGCAAGAAGAACAGCGCTTAACGCATGATCAGAGACGGCCAGGTACATGTAGAGTACTTCTTTGGGCAAAGGGCTGACCAGCCTCGTCAAGGAATGCAAGTGAACTTTCAATTTCTGGAAGGCCGCCTCAGCATCCGGCCCCCATTCAAACCTTGTCTTCTTCTTAATGGCCTGGAAGAAGTATAAGCATTTGTCGCCTGATCGGCTTAGAAATCTTCCCAAGGCCGCCAGACAACCTGTTAACTTCTGAACCTCTCGGACGGTACGAGGCGACTGCATGTCGATAACCGCCTTCACCTTCTCAGGGTTCGCCTCTATTCCTCTCTGATTGATAAGGAATCCAAGAAATTTCCCAGACTCAACTCCAAATACACATTTCTTGGGATTGAGCATGACATGGTGCCGCCTGAGTGTGGCGAAAGTTTCTCGGAGGTCCGACAGATGATCTATCTGAAGCTTAGACTTGACAATCATATCATCAATGTATGCCTCGACGTTTCTCCCAATATGATCAAAGAACACAGTGTTTATCATTCGCTGGAAGGTGGCCGGGGCATTCTTAAGACCAAACGGCATGACCGTGTAACAGTATAACCCTTGATCAGTGACGAAGGCCGTCTTCTCCTGATCTTTCTTCCATAAAGGAATTTGATGGAAACCAGAGTAGGCGTCCATAAAACTCATCAAAGCATGGCCGACTGTTGAGTCAACCAGGTTATCAATTTTAGGCAGAGGGTAACTGTCTTTGGGGCACGCCTTGTTTAAGTCTGTGTAGTCTACACACATTCGCCAGGTGTCATTCGGCTTTTTAACAAGCACCACATTCGCAACCCAGTCTGGGAAGTAACATTGCCGAATGAACCCTGCATCAAGTAATTTTTTAACTTCGGCGGATGCCGCCTGACTTCTTTCTTCGCCATGGTTTCGCTTCTTCTGCCATACCGGCTTCTTTTTCGGATCCACAGCCAGTTTATGTACCGTCAGGTCAGGACTAATGCCTTGCATTTCGTGGACTTCGAATGCAAAGATGTCCTTGTATTCTCTCAATAGTTTGTGAAAGTCGTCACCCGGGACTCTCATAGCAGTCGTCCCAACTTTGACTATTCGGTCAGGACGCGAGTCATCTAAGATCAGGTCCGTATTCTCACCAGCCGGCTGAGGGCGGAATTCATCCAACCGCTCCTCTGCCAATGATTGCTATTTTCTGTCTTTTCTTGCGGCCCCCGTCTGGGCTGCCTTTCTCTTTTTGCCGCCTGCTTCTTGAACAGGCGCACTCTCCCTGACATTTTCAAGGTCTGTTTTTCCACCACCAGACCCAGCGGCCATAACAGTGGGCTTGATATCCGAGAGATAGCACTCTCGGGCCATCCTCTGATCTCCCCTTAGGGACCCGACTGTTCCATCATCCCTCTCAAACTTGAGCAACATAAGAGATGGGATTATAACAGCCTTGGAATTATTCAGGGTTGGTCGTCCCAGAATCATGTTGTAGGCCGAGAGTTCTTCTACTACCAGGAACCGGACTACCATGTGTCGTCCTTCCCCTTTTTCACCCAGGCGGATGGGTAAATCCACTCGTCCCACTGGGTGGACGATTCCTCCTCCAAACCCTACTAAAGGATGGGATGCCGGTTGTATGCAATCAGTCTGATATTTTAGTTTTGACAAACATTTTCTACTGATAAGATCTGAGGAGCTTCCGGTATCTATAAGGATTCGGCCAACTCTCTAGTTGGCCACTTTACATTCAATAACGATAGGGTCGTCATGCGGCCCCCTTACCCCTCCTAGATCTTCTTCGGTGATGACAATCTCAGGAACTGATTATTTGGAGGGTCGTTCTTGGTGAACGGAATTTACGTCTAGCCGCCTGATATTGTCTTTGTTGCCCCTAATAGTGGGGCCGCCTCCTGAGAAGCCGCCTGCAATGGTGTAGACGACTGCATCATCTGTATCAGAGTTGTCGGCCTGTTGACTCTTTTTGGCCGACTGCTTTTTCGAGGAAGTGTTCCCCGCAGATTTCTTGACATAAGAATCAAGATCGCCTTGCTCAGCCGGGCGGTCCAGATACCGCATGAGACTGATGCATTCGTTGGTGTGATGACCAACATCTTCATGATAATCACAGAATTTTTCTTGGTTCCGGTTGCTTGCAGAACCCTTCATGGGGACCGGCTTCTCAATTGAGATGTGTCCCTTAATTTCCTTTAGGATAGCTTGGCTATCCTTGTTAAACGCATACTTTGGGGAGTATGGTTTGAATTCTTTCTTCTTCTTCTAGGCCGGCTGTTTAGAGGAATCAGCCGCCCAGACCTCTTTTCTCTTCTTCTCATCTTTATTTGACGACTGTTTCAGTCGTCCTTCTCTTTTGTCGAACCTTTTCCCGTCCGACTGGTTTCCTGTACTACAAAGATCAGTCGCCTGTATATAGGCTTCTGCTTCAATCAAGGCTTCTTGAAGAGTCGCCACCCTCTTTCGGACCAAATCAAATTTGAATGTCGACCCGTCTTTGAGACCTCTGAAAAAGTCAGTATAGGCTACCTCATCCGGTAACCCTTGAATCTGTATTCTCATCAGGTTAAACCGCCTGATGTAAGAACGAAGCCCCTCCTTCTCGCCCTGCTGAATCGTTCCTAAATCAAGGGTCGTCTTTTTCGCAGGTATGTACATGGAAAAGTTGGAGGTGAATAAGTAAGCAAGCGTCCTGAAGTTATTCACACAACCAGTCGGCAGGTTGCCGAACCATTGTTGTGCGATTCCTTTGAGAGTCGCTGGAAAACACTTGCACCAAGTGGGATCATCCAACCCTTGAAGGTACATCAGGTTGGTGAATGCCATCAAATGGTCTTCTGGGTTAGTAGTTCCGTCATAGGCGCCTACTAATACATTTTTCACTTTGGCCGGCTGAGCGGCTTCAGCAATTTCCTTGGAGAAGGCCGACGGCTGTTCCCCAAGTCTTAGAAACCGTAGCTGCCAGTCCATAGGATGGACATTCTTTGCTGCATGCCCACCAAACAGAGGTGGCTGCAAAAAATATTGTTGTTGCGGTACAAATGGTAAGTTTGGTACCGCCTGATCACTATGAAAGCCGGAATGACGGGAGGTACCGTCTGACTGACTCTCATGATGCGACTGAGTATGTCTCATCGAGGTATTGCGTAGACTGTCTTGGAAGTTTGAAGTAGAGGCCGACTCTGACAATCAGTCATTCTTTTTCTGTTCTAACAATAGCCGAGCATCTGTGTATGTTTTCTTCGACCCGTCCGCTTGAATATGACGAACATGTTTCCTCTTTCCTGGAGTAGGAAAGCGGTACTTTGTGAAATCAAGGGCAGGCGGCTTCCATTTCCTAAAGTTAGGATGAGGGGTCGCCTCTCGCCCTTGAACTGGCTTCCTCTTCCCTGAAGTGGAAGGTTTCTTAGCCAACTGCTCCTTGGCCGGAGCAGGCGGCTTCTTGTTGAGCAATTCTTGAATCTCTCCCTTGAAGCCCCTCATGAAGGTCATGAGTTCGTTTCTTGTAATTGGAGCAGACCCATCAGCCGGCTGCTGCTGAACAGGCGGTGCGCCGGCTGGATCACTGAGTCCAGTTTGAAGATGTTCCCGTTCCCTCCTTTCGGTATGACGGGTGTGTCGGGCCCTTAGGGTCCCGTCTGAAGCTGTATGAGCTTCAACTTCAAATTCTTCCTCAGTATCATGGTCCGACTGAACTTGAGGGTCGTCTAGGGGACGCCTCTCTTTAGGAGTCGGTACAGACGTGGATGCCATCTCAGAAGTACTCTCCCCACAGACGGCGCCAAAATGTTTCGGGGTTTTCTGATGTCCTGCGGGAGAGTTACAATTCCGAGACTGGAACCGGACGCCTGTACCTGCAAAACAAACGGATGTTCCGGATGATTGGAGATCCGCCTCCGACGGGGTCAAGTTAGTACTTGATTAAGGAGTAATTAATGCGAAAAATAAAAGTGATTGGGTCTCTCTAGGTGAGAGTATTAAATGTGCGTAATCCCCTTTAATGAGGATTAAGGGAGGTATTTATAAACTTGGGAAACGTGTTAATCCTAGGTTTAGGTCAACCTAGGGCTGATTGGGCTTCCCTTGGAAGTTGGGCCTAGGTGGCCGGTTTCTCCATTAGGCATGGAGGATGCCACGTGTCATGACATAATAGGTCCAGGGTGGACAAATAGGCGTGTGCCACGTGGCAAACCCTGACAGTTCCAACTGGTGGACACTTGGCAGGACCTGATTGGCCCACGTGGCGCATTCCGATTGGTGGGAGCAAAATCCCCTAATCATTTTGTGTGGCTATTTCAAACTTTTTTGAAGTGTATGGGAAGAGAACTCCTTGCATAATCACTGATCAAGACCCTGCAATGGGTATTGCCATACAAAAGGTTTTTACCAAGACTAAACACAGGTTATGTATGTGGCACATAATGAGGAAGGTACCTGAAAAGGTTGGAACTCAGTTTTGTAATGAAACCGAGTTCTTGAAAAATCTAAGTCCTGTAGTTTGGGATAGAGAAATTGATCCCCATATATTTGTTGATTGTTGGAACAATGTTATGGAGGAATTTGACCTTGTAGATCATGAGTGGTTTGCATACATGTTCAAGATTAGGCATCTTTGGATCCCTGCATATTTCAGGGACTTGTTCATGGGTGGGTTACTGCGTTCTACTTCTAGGTCTGAAGGTGAAAACAATTTCTTTTGTAATTTTATAAACCCTCATGTGACCTGTGTTGAATTCTTTGTCCATTATGAAACTGCTCTGGATGCTCAAAGGCATGAAAAGGATGAGTTGAACAAGCTTAATAAATCTGAGCCTCAATTGCTTACTCATTTACACTTGGAAAAGCACGCTGCTGTTGTTTACAGTCGTGCCATCTTTTATGATTTTCAAGAAGAATGCCAAGCAAACTGTTTGTCATGTGGTGTTGAAAGTTGTAGTTCTCTGTATGGAGATGGTGTGGAGTTTTCTGTTATTGTTGATCATGAGAAATGGAAAAACTCTGATGTAAATTTTGACTTGGCCACATATGAGTGCAGTTGTACTTGTAAAATGTTTGAGAGTCAAGGCATCTTATGTTGACACATTCTGTTTATTATGAAAGGCAAGTCTATACGTGAAATTCCTGATCTTTATATCATGAATCGTTGGAGAAAAGACGTTCTGAAGAAAGCTTTAGCCATAAATGCTGTTGTGGATGATGCTTCTAAGTATGATAAGAAGAAGCAATTAGTGAGTGATGTGTGGTCCAAGATTTTCAGTTGTGTGAGTTTATCTGAGCAATCTAAGGATGATATATCTGAGCTTATTAGGACATTATCTTCATTTGAGGAGCAGATGCCGACAAAGAATAATCCTGTAAATGCAACTAGTTCAAAAGAGGTGAAAGATGCTGATATTCAGGTTTTGGTTGGGTCAAATGAAGTAGATGTAAACATCTTTCCTCCAAATCAGTGTCTTAATAAAGGTTCTGCCAGAATTTCAAAGCGGTTGAAAAGTGCATAAGAAATAGCTTCTGAAGAAAAATCCAAAAAGGGCAGAACCTGTAGAGCTTGTGGGCAATATGGTGTTTTACATGACAGTAGAAACTGTCCAAACAAGTAGTTCTTCAGGTATTTTACTTTTACATGTGTTCCATTTACTTTAACCTGTTATTTATTTACTTTAACATTTAACTTGATTTACTTATTATTTTTGTGCAGGTGTTATTATACTTGTACTTTTTTTAGGTATTTTACCTTTATACTTTTTTCATTTACTTTAAGTTGAAATTTATTTAATTTACATTGTAATTTATTTACTTTAATCTGTCACTGATTTTCTGATGTTTATTTTTATGCAGTTATTATAATACTTGGAAATTTAAAGATGTTTTAGAAGATCAAGATCAAGATATACTGAAGAAATACTGTTTTCTTTTTTAATTTTTTTTATGTAATATTTTTACATTTACTCTAAGTAATTATACTGCAGAAATAAAGTTCAGTTATTTACTTTTACCTATTATACTTTAACTTTATGAAATATTTCAGTTACTTTATGATATTTTTTTTCTTGCCTTTCACAATGAATAATATATCATATGAATTGTACTATCATGTAATGTGCTTCTTATTTACAAAATTGAAGATAATATCCTATATTACTCCCTTCGTCCCAGAGTACTTGGCACGATTTTCATTTTCATCCGTCCCAAAATACTTGACACATTTCTAAAAATAGCATGGGACATTTATTACATTATTTTTTAATACTCCCCCATGGCCCCATGGTAACAAAACTTGTTAATGTACGGGGCTCTTTTATAACCAAAACATTTTTTTTTCTCTCTCCCTTATCTCCATTGCACAACCACCTACACCACCTTCTACCACCACACAACCATCGTATGGCCACTAACACTATCACATGGCCAATAGTTGAAATAATATGGTGCACGACCTTCCAACCAACAATCTTTCAGAAAATTTGTAATTTTTTTTAGTGTGAACAAGCATTGAACTACCACCTCCACAACCACCTCATAAATACTTTATTTTTTGAACTTTTTTCTTTTACTTTTAACTTCATGTCTTTTACTTTAACACTAATTCCCTTTACTTTTAAATCGAACATCATATTTTTGACTAATTTTTGAACTTTTTTTCTCTTAATTTTGTTCCTTTTACTTTAATGATAATTTCATTTACTTTTAGATTAATTTCTTTTACTTTAACAATATTTTTCTTTACTTTAAAATCGAACACCATATTTCAAAAAGACTTCATTTTCTAAATTTTTTTCTTTTACTTTTAACCGAGTTCCTCTTACTTTAACAGTATTTTCATTTACCTTTTGATTGATTTCTTCTACTTTTATATCTAGCACCATTTTTACACAGAATAATTCTACTACTTCAACTCAAAGATATAATATGTATTCTTCATACAAATATACTACTTAAACCTTCAAACTAATGTTTTGGATTAATACTATACAAGTTAAAGTACTCTAATGCCTATGATATATTCAAATCAATTTAAAACATTTACAATTCTTCACATGCTTTTTGTGCTTTCTTCTCTTCCCTTTTCTTAACATTTGTCAGCAGTTTCTCTTGCATTTGATTGTTATCATTGAGAAATAGCTCAAGTAATATTTTTATATGATGGTGTGTCAATCTTTGAAATTCCTATAAAAAAACAAAAGATTAACCTTAGTTTTAATAAATTATGCTCTAAGTAATCCATATAACTTAAAGAATTTAAGGACTTTAGAAATAAGTATGGTAACTTACCTCTTTTATGGTTCCCAATCCTATCCCATTAACACCATCATACACCTTCATGTGTAGCTTTAGATAGCTTCCTGAGTAATTTTCTTGTCTTTCTTTTTGGAATGGAAGTTTAATTATTCTCAGCTTGTAGGATAACATATCATTTGCCTTTGGATGCTTTCTTTTTTTAAACAACTTCTGCATTTGTATGATCTGCAATGGAATGAATATTAATGTAATATGATACATTGAAAATTGAATTTAATGACATTTTGTTAATCTATTTATGCTTACCGTTTCTAAGATAAAACTCTGTACAGGCTCATATTCATCAGTGCTCTCGTATAAAGTGTTGTCCAAATGATCAATTGTTTCATTTTTGAAGTTTATGACAGCAAGAAAATAATGATCTTCCTACTTCAGAGGTATAAATACTTGCACAGAAAAAATATTTACACATATTTACTTTAAAGCTATTTTTTTATTACTTTAAACATATATATTTTCTACTTTAAATAATTATTCTATATCTTACACATTCAGCTGCATCCAAGTCCAATGATTGTGATTTTGTCCAATTAATCCATAGTTTTTGCAGACTTGTTACTCCCTTTTACCCATGTGCATTCAAACACATAGTTAAAGCATCCTGCAAAAAAATTTCCAAGTTTATTTCACATATTTATTTAATGCACAATTTTATATTATAAAAGTAAACGTAAAAAACTTACCATGAAGTCAAGTCCAAAGAAGAATCTGACAATGTCATTTTCAGACCTCTCTTTTTTCCTTTCATTGTTATTGAGGTGGTTTGACCAAGCAGTGATCAGATTAGTTGAAGCTTTCCATTCATTGAGCAAAGTGTTACAATCTTCCCTTATTATTCCAATTGATTCTCCAAACCAACCTACTACTTCGCTGTAATGTTAAATTAAATTTAAAATTAAATTTATGCCAAACAATTTAATATATAAAGCAACAAGAGTATTAGTTTATTTGCAAGTATAACACATACCTCTTGTTTGGAAAGTTTTCATCATCATTGATTTCTAAGTAGTCAATCACTTGGTTACATTTCAAGCTCATGTTTTCCATTACTTTCTTGTGTGTTTTCAAGAAATCAGAAACATATATCATATCTTTCACTTCTTTCTCCTGCTCAAGTTTTCTAACTACTCTTAATCTTGAAACTCTTTCCACAAGACTTTTTATTTTAGTGTTTATCTCTGCCAAAGCAAGTGCAACACAGATTTCTGCACGATACACCTTTCTCCTATTTCCTAAATCAAGGTCAGAATCAAAAGGCTCTCCAGTAAAACACAGCATATGCATCATTGTAAAAACACCACAATCAAGAGTATATTTTGGTGTTTTCCATTTGAACTTAACTTCATCAAACTCATAATCTAGTATTTCATCAGCTTTTTCATAATTAATTCTCTTGAGGAAGTTTGACATTTCCTCCACTTATAACATTTGTAAAGCAATATATAAGTAAAACAAATTTACAGTACAATTTACTATAAATAGCATATGTATTACTTTAATGAGAACATCATTTACTTTATATTTTATCTTATTCTTTTTACAGGCACAATAATGTATTCTTTAATACAAACTTATTTACTTTAATAGTAATGTCATTTACTTTATATTAATCATAATTTACTTTTGAGAAATTTAAAAATCTTACCACAAGAGATGCAAGAATTTTGTAGAAAGGGCAATGCCTATCATCATACTCCCTGTTATCCAAGAATTGAATGGTCTCTTTCAACAAGTTAACCACTACCAAACTATAGTGGTTACTCAGATAGATTGGAACAAAGATTTGTCATTAAAATTACACTTATTAGTCTACAAATTCAAAATCATAATGCCCTACAATGTAGTTTAATTGACATGAATAATAAAATATACCAATTGAGCTGTCATAATTTTCTCCTTTGCATCACAGAGGCACATCCAATCATACCATGCCTGATTCAATTCTGCCGCATATGTTTAAAGAGATGGTTTTTCTTTTTCATCTGTTTTTGGAGTTGGCTGGGAAGGATCTTGTGACATGAGAGACAGCTCTAGAGGTCTTTGTGTATTAATGAGGACATAAAACATGTTACTTAATTAGATCATATACAGTTACTTATATATTTAGCTAAACATTTAATTTAACGCTTACATTGTGGTCAATGCCAAAGAAAAAGCATGATGAATCTTCTTTCAATCGTGAATCATTCATAAGAAATGACCAACATTGAACTATATTGAATTTTTTTTATCATTTGAGGGGGGGGGGGGGCAGTTGGAGCTAGGGATACTGTGTCATCCCTTGTTATCATGAGAGGAGCTTCATATTTCACAAGCTCTTCACTGTGCACATTTAAATGTTTCTAAAGTAGATAAAATATTATTTAAAGTAAATTAAATATTAACTAAAGTAAATAGAATATTTTTTAAATTAAAAATTTTCATAACTTATTGTTTGAATGCACTGTACTTCACAAAGAAGTAATCAGCCACTACTTGATACAGCTCTGGCATTTCATTCATTCTTGATTTGTTGCTTCTCATTGACTTTGAAACGAAATTAACTTCAACATCTTTTTCTCCACAATCTACATTGATGTTTATCTTTGAAGCTATCTCTTGGTGAATGTTCTTAAGCACAATGGTTTCTTCTGCAACAGGTTGTTCATCACCATCACTTGAAATAAAACAGCAGATGTAGTTTCAAAGAAATCATACACTATCTACTTTTAATTGATTTGTATTTACTTTTAGACTATATTTACATTATTTTGTTAACAACTTACTTTCAATTGTTTTTTCTGTTGCTTTCTTTGTAACATTTGGTTGCTTTTCTTGAACAACAATATCCTTTAGATACTCTCAGTGACCGAGCTTACTACATCAGTGAGGGTTTCATTTGGTTCTTCATCAATATCATCACCATTAACTGGCTGGTTTGCAGTATTTGCATCAATTGCTACACTAACTTCAGCTTCCTTCTCTTGTTGCTTTTCATCCTCCTCTTTCTCCTTCTCATCTTCCTCTTTCTCCTCTTTTTTTTTTTCCTTCTCTTCTTTGTTTTCATCTTTCTCCTCTTCGTTTTTGTCCTCTTCCTTTTCCTCCTCTTTTTCAGATTCTTCATTTTCATCATCCTGATTAATAGCGTCATGTATAAAATTTGAAGTAGCATATGCACCATCTTGATTATCTCCATCATAATCTAGATTAGTTTCAGGATTTT